ATGTATCCAATGCCACGCTATGATAGCGCCGATCAATGGACCGATTAATGACATGACTTATCATTCAAATAAATATCTATTACTTTCTCGATATAAGACATGATTTTTCTTTCATTATCTCTCTCTTGCAAACGAAAAACAATATATTCTTTCATTTTTGCCTACTTTTCAAGGCTTTGATTTGTTTTTTCGATTGAAATCTTCAGATTTTTAACCTTTTGACTCGTGATTTGCTATACTTTTTGCTGATTAATGCAGATTTAAACATGTGTATGATTATCAATCGTATGATTAAAATTGGGGTTTATCTCAGATATAGTCATTATAATCATAATTAATGATTTATGAATAGTTAGATTGTTTGTCAAAGTTATAGCCAACTCTACCTTTACTGTCAAGTCTGAGCTGTGGTGTTAGGCTATCCCACAACAGTGAACGTCATACCCAATGCTTTTCAATGTTAGCCGCTGTGACTAGCGTTGAAATATTTTTGCAAATATTTCTCTCCTTTTATAATAATTGATTGACTTTTCGATAACATTTGAAACAATGAGTGGTTGTGTAACACATGAAATGATGAGTTTTGCGATGTGTTTGCAAATAACTATTGATTGGGAATAGGGTTGTATCGGGCAGTGAATGCTCGCTCTGCAATATGTGTTGATACAACACTAGCGTAATGGTTCAGGTATGCTGTCGACTGGATGCTCGCGTTTCTATGGAAAACAAAATGGTCTCTGCATATGCCCAACGCTTACAACTCAAGTGTTATTGACTTGAAAACTATTTGAATTGAGAAAACATTACATATTATGTGCAGTAGTACTGTAATACTCGGCAGTAGTGTTGTGTCAATGTGTATACAATTATGACATAATTAGCGATACTATAGACAAGTGATGCTTACGATGAATGTATTGGTTGTGTATTGCGAGTGTTGTGTCAATTCATAGCGTTATCTCATTAGTTGGACATCACTTGAGCTCATCATTGGCTGACACAACATGACTGACCCCTCGTATGCCCGTACAGTAAGCCCGCAATTATCGCTTATATTAGCTTTTATTACATAGTTATAGCAATTGATTGCTTATTAATGGCACACATTGTCTATACATGAAGTTTGCATTCAATGTGGACATCACTGAAGTTTATAAACTGACTGTCAGTTTATGTGACATTCATTTGAATTGCATTTAATTGTTTGCATATGAAGTTGAGGTCAACCCTAATGGGCCGGTAGTTGATAGCTATGGCTCTGTGTGTATACTTCAGGCCTAATGTTATGTTTGCTTAATTCAGTGCTCATTGAAGGCATGATATAATTGTCATAATTATTGGTTTTATATTCAAATTGTCATTATATTATGAATACAAATGAACCAAATTTGCAATCATTTCACTAAACAATGAGTTGTTTATCACTAGAAATGTATGCATTTATTATGAGATATGAGAGCAGCTCTTGAGGTATGACATGAATGACTAGTATTACGGTTAGTGACAACTCAGACATCAGTATCACATGAATAGGATGTCTGTGATGTGGATGACTGTTGAGGAGTGGGTGCCGTCACTGGTATTCATAAGAGCCTACCAGTGCTGTCACTCATAGTTTGTATGAATTGATTGTTTTATCCAAATATAGTCGCAACTAATCTATTGATAACCAGATATGCATTGAATATATGCCTCGACTTTGATCTCATTTATGATAAGCTTATCCTAATTAAGGACTGATCTGACGATAAAAGTATTAATAATTGTTTTTTGTCTCTCTATTGGCGGACAAACAGTCGATTCGATGAAGAGTTAATGGATCTGCAGAACAACTATCACAACGACTACCGACTCGACGGTTCGGCCACACCTTCAATGGTGTCAGAAACGGGTCCAATGAATCCATTGCCCCCTTCAGGCTATTACGAGTTGGACACGAGCACTCATCACCCCATTCAGCCCATCCATCACACACTGAACCCGCAGATGGTTGAGGACCCGTACGGCTACGGGAGGCGACCGTCGCCTCAGATGCACTCTCCCGGCGGCGGATTCTTCCAGACCTACGACGAGGCACCGCAAGGATATCTCGACCGACGGCCCTCTTTCGACGATTACGCCAATTACGGCGGTTCTCTTCACGGACCCCAATATAACCTGACGGCCGCACAACTGCCGCACACCGTCTACGAGGAGGAGACGCCATACGTTGTGTCCAACTCTCATATGCCTCCCATGCCTGCGATGCCAGGCGTCGAACACCTCGTTATGCCCGACGGCACCGGCGGTGACGTGAGATTTAGGGATCCGGATCTGCACGAAGTGATTGAGTTCCTCAACCATCCCAACAACATCGTGAGGGCCAATGCGGCCGCATATCTACAGCACCTCTGCTTTATGGACGACAACATGAAGTCTAAGACGCGAGCGCTGGGAGGGATTCCGCCGTTAATTAACTTATTATCACAAGAAGTTCCGGAGATTCAGCGCAATTCGTGCGGTGCGCTCAGGAACTTGAGTTACGGCCGACAGAACGATGAGAACAAACGGGCCATTCGTAACGCCAGTGGCATACCAGCCCTCGTGAGGCTATTGCGCAAAACAGTGGACAATGAGATCCGAGAACTGGTGACCGGAGTTCTCTGGAATCTGAGCTCTTCTGAAGAGCTGAAGCGACCCATCATTGACGACGCGCTGACTGTTTTAGTGAATGTTATTATAATCCCTCACTCGGGTTGGGATCGCAGTATCGATCCCAACCTACCGGCGCCACCCGGCGTTATGTCAAACGGCAGTGACATCTATTGGTCGACAGTCTTCCGGAACGGGTCGGGAGTGTTGCGGAACATCTCGTCTGCCGGCGAATACGCGCGACGAAAGCTACGCGAATGTGAAGGACTGGTCGACGCCTTACTATATTTGGTTCGGTCGGCGATCGGCAAGAATGATATGGACAACAAGTCCGTCGAGAACTGTGTCTGCATTCTCCGGAATCTGAGTTATCGGTGTCAGGAAGTGATAGATCCCGAGTACGACAAACACTATTACGCCAATCAAAACAACAACTCAATGAGTCCGTCGTCGTCGCGAGCGGCGGCCATAATGGGAGGCATTGGGAACAAAGTGGGCGACAATTTGGGCTGTTTTGGGGGCTCTAAGAAGAAGTCAAAGGAGTCCTCCTCATCGCTCACTTCTCCGTCGGCTATTAGTTCTCCCATTAATACATTAGACGCTAAGACACAGCAGCTGTCGATATCGGGAAATAGTGGTGCGAACGGCGGTGTTCTTAGTCCAACGTCACCACCAGTTCCGCGACCGCGTTCAGAGCCGGCGCGCGGTATGGAATTGCTTTGGCAGACGGAAGTGGTTCAGCCTTACTTAGCCCTACTGTCCGAGTGCTCGAACCCGGAAACACTAGAAGCAGCTGCCGGTGCAATACAGAACCTGTCGGCCTGTTTCTGGCAGCCGAGTGTTGATATACGCGGCGCCGTTCGCAAGGAGAAGGGTTTACCCATTTTGGTGGAGTTGTTGCGTATGGAAGTGGATCGAGTGGTCTGTGCCGTCGCCACCGCTCTCAGGAATTTGGCGATGGATTCACGAAATAAGGAACTGATCGGCAAATACGCCCTCAAAGACTTGGTCTCAAAGCTACCAAACGGTAACCCACAGCACGACTCAAACGCCAGCGACGATACGGTGGCAGCAGTTCTCGCGACTCTTAATGAAGTGATTTCTAAAAACCCCGATTTCGCCAAATCCTTGTTAGAGGCCGGGGGTCTCGAAAGGCTTACAATTATTGTTAAACAAAAAGGAAAATTCTCGCCGCGAGTCTCAAAATTTACGTCACAGGTATTGTCGCCGTTTATTACATGCATTTCCACTCATTAATACCGTTCAATGCATTTTCATATATCAATATTAAATGACTATTTTGGTGTACAGTTACTGTTCAATATGTGGCAACACGTAGACCTTCGGGAGGTGTATAGGAAGGCCGGGTGGAAGGAATCGCATTTTATAATCAATTCGCGGACATTACTCTCGCGCACCACTTCTTCGTCCACTCCTAACAGCGCTAACAACACATTAACGCGTCCTATGAGTACAGTTGGCGGTACGCGCTATGAGGACAGGACATTGCCTCGCAATGGGGGCCGGGATATCAATATGAGTCAATTGCACGGAAGGGTAAATGCCTTTTAATTATTGTGATTTCAGTACCAGTAATACCTATTGAATAGAGTCTAATAACTCTTATTTTATCGATTTTTTTTCAAATTTTTATAAAACTTTTTTCTCTAAATTTAAACATCAATTAAACCATTAAAACGTGACATTCATATGATTTGCAGAACGAAATAACCTTTGAATTGAAAATAATGTTTATTCAACAAAACCTGAAGTTTTACACGAATTTAATGTGTATTTCACTCAATTTTACACTTGAACTTCGTTTCCCTATGATATCTAAATTAATCAAAATTTTATTGAAAAGTATTTTATTATTTTACACGATCTCTAATAATTAGATTAGTTTTCTAAACATAAATATAATTTTAATTACTCTTTATTTTAACATTTAGACAGATTATCAGTAATTAATTATAATTGTTTAGATTAAATGTCTAAATGAATTGATGTATTAAAATGTATGCTTTATTTGATTAATAGCCGGAAGAGTTAGCGCTGTCCGAAATGAACCACACGGTCACAGACGGCGTACTGTCCCCTAACCAACAACAGCAACAACAACAACCATTACTACACCGTCCACAGATCGGAGGAGTAGCCGTCTACCCTCCCGGAGCGGTATTTACTCATTTCTATTCATGCATTTCACGTTCATTTCCATTCTCTCGAATCAATCGCTTACTCGGACTACTGTATTGACTAACTTTTATGCCTTCCCTTTCCTGCCCTCCCATAGCAACCGCCTCAACCTCACGGATACTAAATTAACTAACAATTTCGACAATTTGTAAATTTTGAACTGTTTTTGACTTCTATTAACAAAAATTTAATGCTTTAATCAATCAAATAATTGCTCATAAAGTCATCGCATATTAACTCATATCTCAAAAACCATTGCTTTTTCACTCAAATCTTTCTCTCTATGGGTACGTCTTTTAGCTCTCATTAACTCTATTATTAATTGCGATGATATCTCAATGCAATTAAACTTATCTCGCAATTAGTGTTTTGAGGACTGCTTATTGAATGGATTGTAATATATTGCAGACTTATGTCCGGAGCCCGACATCAGAGCCCGTTTACGCTCAGGTGAACCGCGAACGCAAGCGACAGACGAGTCGACCCAATGACAGCTCATCGCAGACAGCTTTACTCGGATCTGACAATTACATGGTTGACCACAACGAGCCCATATACCCGCCCACAATGCCGGCCGGGGACTCATGGGTGTAGCCACTCATCAAACTCATCGGAACTCTTTTACCAAAACTTCATTTTATGACATTTTTAAACCATTGTTTCAAAGAGATTTGGAGTAAATTACAAATAATTGGAAAGTAATAGTTGTGCCAACATTTGTGTAATCAGTTTATGATAAAACAAAACTACTTTTTAAAAGATATTACTTTTTTCATATAACTTATGTGCGAATTCTTTTAGTTGTTTCTCTCACAAAACGCTCAAAAATTCACTTAAAATTTGAATGAATGAATGGTTTCTTAAATACAAAAATATTGTAAATTATTTAGAAAATGATTACTCTTTTTGCGAATATAAATATGTGACTAAACAACTGCTTTATAAATATAAAAGTAGTTATTATTAAATAATTTGTTGCGAGAAGTGATTTTCAAGACTTTATACAATAGTAAATAACTCTCGAAAACCGTATTATATGTTGAATGAGATGTCGAAATATGTTTTGCATTATTTGTAATTTGAATTATTATCAAAGAATTGAATAATTATTATAAGTATAATAATTTTGAAACTTAAATCAAAGAATTGTTTCATTTTTTTGTATAAATTATTTTCGAAACTTAATTTGTCGTAAAAATCTCTAATTTTTCATGAATTCATCGTTTTTTATATTTTTCATTTCTTTCAATTGTGTTGTTTTATACAGAAAACTATGCATTTATTTTAGGGTTCATTACGAGTTAAATAAGAGCTTTTTATTACAAAAAATACTGAATTCATTGCAGACTATATACAGACTCTAGATTTTATGTTGTCATTCATTACAACAAACTTTTTTCATAAATGCATTCCTAATACTATTCATGTGTTTGAATGTGTTTTTCAATTTCACTCAACTTTTTATTATTTATTTTTCAAATTCTCTTAAAAATCATGAATTTTAGTTAATTGTAATTTTAAAATAAATAGAAATCAAAAGATATTTATTAAATGATTTGTGAAGAATCAATGAAAATGTTTTTGAATTTATTTAACAAATCAATGTTTGCTTTATTTTCTAATGAAGTCAATAATTGTGTTGAACACAAGCGTAACCTTCCGATCGCTATATCAATACATTGGAGATAAAAATATCGAGAAAGACGTCAATTTCTCCCATTTATATAGTGTTATACCGGTATGTATTGCATGTCTGTCTACACTTCAATTGGCTATCAATGTTACGTAACCAACGGTTGAGTCCATTATTGAATCCATTCATTCACTTGTGTTTGCCATTTGAATATTCCTTAAGAATTTGTTTTATAGTCAAAAAAAGTTTGTGTTTTTACTTCAAATATATTCCTATTTATTAAATATTTTTATTTATAATACAAGAGATAATTCTTCATTTTTCTTTTTGTGTTGAGTTTTTTCATGCATTTCATAATACTTTAACAAATTATATAATTTTAATTTATTTAAAGTTTTACATTATTTCACAAAATTAGTGCCAAAACTATATTTTCAATTCATTGGACCAGAAGTTTACAAAAATCTTAACATATCGTCAGAAAGTGTTTGTATCATACGATCGGTTCCCCGAGTAGTCAATAACTTTTAAACCGATTGCCATTCATATGAGACAAAAGTCTACTATAACAGCAACGAATCAGTCGTTTTCGCATTAATCAGTGTTTTCGTCGACCATTATTATGTAATTGTCTTACAATTCATTAATCATTTCTTATTTTTATGACATTTTCGTAAAATATATAATTAAATATAAAAATTATAATTATTAAAGACATGAATGAAATCATAATTCAATCGTTTGTATGAAATAAAGTGCGAAAACACTTGTTATAAACTCTAATGAAAATAACAATTAAAGTGAATAACGTTTTGCAAAACGACGGGAAAACTGATCCGAAGATCTGCCACAGACTTTGTCGTCATTTAAACGGTTATTATTGTTTTGAACGAAACAAACAAAACTCAATTGCTTTTATGATTATTGGGTTTAAATAATTGGAAAAAACATATGAAAAATAGACAATAAAATAGAAATTTATCAGAAATTGGTTTCATAAACACAGGTAAGTGTCCCGACATTTAGCAAAGTAATGGAGAAACTCAATGAAAACAAAATCGGAATTCAATGAATGAAAATATGAAAACAAAATAATAATAATAATAATAATTAAGGTAATCATTAGAGAAAAATAAAGTCTTGAAAATAAAGCTAAATATAAATACAAGGAGTGATCGAAATTAGTTTAATAACACAATTAGAGGCGAGAATAGAGAGGAAAACAATTAACGATTAAATTACGGGTTTTGTTAACATTTGTCGTTTTGTTTGCCAAACGCATTGGTTTTGTTGCACTTGTTTTGCAGTCGTTTTGTTATTACAATATTATAATAATTATCACCAAAAGAGATAAAACAAAAAATAGTTATTAATATTAAAAACATGAAAATCAATCCGAGTTGTGGTCGACATCGGGCTGTTCGGCGTCGACCACCTCTTGGGCGTCAGCGTCAGTGACATCGACATCAACATCAACGCCACCATCGATGTCAACGTAAGGCAGTATATGAAGGATGTCTCCATTAAAAGAGACAGCACTAGTCATACGATTCCAGGGCCGCCACACAGTGTCCTCGTTATAGGTGCCGCTCACGTACTCCCACCTCTCATCACAATACCGGTCCACTTGTTGTTCAGTCACTAGTTTTAACTTAGAATTGCTTTCAATTAAATCACTAGTATTTGAGTCGTTATTAGTCTCTAAATCACTATTCATTGCAATTAATTGGTTGTCCGACTCATCGTCTCTATTATGGTTGTGGTCTCTATTATCAACACTAATGAAGTCATTATCACTGGAATTGTTGTCATTTGATACACAATCAGTCAAATCGATGTCATTAATAGGCGGCAAACGAGACATTATTAGGTCTATCTCTTGGCCGACGACATCGTTGTTGGAAACACTCGTGATTTGATGGTTGGATGACGTGATGGCTGAGGGTTGCGATGGATGTGCTGTTGGTTCACAGGAGACACTCGCATACAGACTCTGTTCACACGTGTTAGCACTGTTCACATGCGGGGGCCTGTAGTCTACACTACTATAAGATTCATAACTATATTCATCATTAATGGCAGGACTTGTCGTCGATGACTGACTCGAGAAGAATCTCTGCATGAGTTGTGATTTGGATTCGGTTTGGTTGTGGTCCACATCCGCCTCTTTGTTATGCTTGCGATTCGTCCTAATGGTCGACACAATCCTATTGTTTGTCATCAGTTCGGTCTTCGCCTCTAAGTCCACATCGATATTGAACTTCTGGACCAACTCTTCGGTGGTCTTCGACTTGTGGATACGTCTCCTAACGTCCAACTGGTCTTGGAGTGGATCCAACTCAGGCTTGAGTTTGCGTTTACGAGCCTTTCTTCCAGACATGTTGTCGCGCGAGTGCTCGTCATCGGCGGTGAGCGGCATGTGGTGTATGGGTTGGTCGCCAGACAGACGACTGTCCGACCGGTCGGTGTGTGTCGTGTGGTTGGAGGCGACCATCGGTGACACCACAGGACTGGCGTTGGAGTCCGAGTCCACTGACCCCTCGAAGATGCCGTTGAATGTGAAGGACGAGTGAGTCTTGTGGTGATGACTGTTCCGGTGACTCCGATGGCCCACCGGATCCGACCGGTTGTTGCCGTACTGGCCGTCCACTCCTCCGCTCAAACCACTCACTGAACTCTTTGCCGATTCATTCAACACATTCATCTCCCATGAAGTGGTGCTCGCGAAGAATGGGTCCACTAATCGATGCCTTCAAACACTAATTGTTTGCAAACACTTTGGGATTCAATTCAATGCAAACCAATCATCGCTTTGATGGCAAACATTGTCTCCAATTGTCTACAAATTGTAAACAATTTCATCGATACTACAGTTCACACACTCATCCCATTGCCCATAGGGGTCGCCCCCACACACACAACACCAACAGCGCCTACACCTCTCACCCCATACTAGTACACCCCGAACTCACGAGCACCTACCTGTCCACCAGTCACTCACAACATTTGCAGTGGTCAGTGAAATACTGATTGTCTGATTGTCACACCAATTAATGTTAACTAATGTCTAAATGATGTCTATTTGTAACAATTGTTTTCATTGAGTGTATTGTATGGCAAACACATGAATGCCGTCCAATGGTTTGCAATGCGAGTCATCCATGAATGACGTTATCATATGACAAATTTGACACAATTTACAGCAGACTATCATTGCGTTCACTACTCGCATAAGACGTATGCATTTCAATGAGTTGAGTGCGTATGCAATGAGTGTTTTTCAATGCATTTGTGGCTAAAAGTAATGACTGTTTGACACAAAAACAAGTTTTGAGGGCTTTTTGAATGCATTTAACGATTAGTTTTGAATGAAAACTTTTGACACAAATATGAAAACATGTGTTGAAGTAGTGGTTCACATGAGACACATACACACGAAGAAGTTATGGACACCACCGATGAATTGATGACCGCAGATGAGCTCCAGAAGTACTCCAAAGAGGTGCGCAAGTGTTGATACCATATTTGATGAATTATCTTATCGGTGACCACTTGTATTCCTCAGGAACTGATCGCTCGCATGTTGTCAATGCAGTCACACGTTAGACAACTGAAGAATATATTAAACAAAAGGAGTGGTAATAGTAGTGATGATAAGTGTCGGCCAAGAAGTGAACGTGACTTTGATTTTCGTAAATACAAGACAAGACATATCGCACTGAAAGTGCTATACTTGGGCTGGGATTACATGGGATTCGCCGCTCAAGAGGACAGTCACCACACGGTAGAGGCGGCCCTATTCGAGGCGCTCACAAAGACCCGACTCATCCGCACCCGTCAGACCTCTAACTATCACCGGTGCGGACGCACTGACAAAGGAGTGTCCGCTTTCTCGCAGATTATATCACTCGACGTGAGAACTAATCTAAAGAGTGGTAAAGGAGTCATCACTCCTGAGGATTACGTGGACCACAGCGACGGTCAAACTGATGAGTCAGATCCCGAAGAGATTAATTACGCTTTGATTTTGAATAATGTTTTGCCCGAAGATATTCGTGTCATTTGTTGGACACCCGTTGAGACAGAGTTTAGCTCTCGGTTTGACTGCAAATCCCGAACTTATAAGTATTTGTTCCCAAAGGGAGGGCTCGATATCGATCGCATGAGAGTTGGATGTGATTATCTTGTGGGTGATCACGACTTCAGGAACTTTTGCAAAATGGATGTCAATAACGGTGTCACCAATTATAGGAGGAATATATTGTCCATTCATTTGCAGCAATATTCTACTGAATCTAATTGTAATCACTTTGGATGTGATGAGAACTACTCGATGTACTCATTAACCATCACCGGCACAGCCTTTATATGGCATCAGATCAGGTGTATTGTGGCTCTTCTATTCCTCGTCGGCCAACATCGAGAAGAACCCGAAATAATTAGCCAATTGCTGGATGTGGACAGACATCCCAATAAACCGCAGTATTGTATGGCCACTGACTTTCCATTGATTTTGTTTGACTGCAGTTATAGTGGCAATGATATCAATGAATGGATTTTTGATACCAAAGCATCCGTTCAACTCATAAAACATTTGCAAAGTTTATGGACTAAACAAATGATCAAAACAGATGTCATTAAACTAATGCTCAATAGTTTGACAAATGATTTTAAAGCTCGCAATACATGTGAAGACTTGTCTGACAATAGTTCGCTAATCGATGCCTTATGTATGGGAGTCCGACATAAAGTTTATAAACCATTACTTCAGCGACCAGTTTGTGGTTAGTATTTGAATTGCTATATATATTAAATGAATTTTTAAAATATAATTATTTTAAAACTTACAGAAAGTCTGGAACAAAGGATTTCAAAGTGCAATAAAAGGACTAAAATTAAAGATTAATGTCTGTAGACAACAGGTGTTAAAAATGTGACTTTATTTTTGTTGATATGAAAAATTTGTTTTTATTTATAACAACAATTTTATAAATTTAGTATAAATACAAATTAAATATCAGTCTCAATAGAGATCTTTGACGTATTTCTAATTAATGGCATATTTGGTGGCATTAAATGCTTGTTAACGTTGGAGCGCTTCCATTCGGGTGACACGTATGAAGAGCTGTTCATTTGAGGACTCAATTTATTGTACAAACGATGGCCCGTTAGTGGCGGTGGAGGCGGAGGAGGAATATAGCTATCGATTTGCTCGTAATCTTTAATATCTAAGTTCTGTTCGTCAGACGATTGTCTCATTAAATTCATGTCATTTTGAATCTTCTTGGGTTCGTAACAGTCTTCGGGATACGGACTGACATTACTTTCTTTGTCTGTTCTCTTCGTCTTTCCTTTTCTGAAAAGTTGTTAAAAATGTTTAATTTGTTGACAGAAATGTTGACAGATTTGAATACTTTTTGCATAATGTAATGGTGACGATCACTATGATTATAATAACCAAAGCGAAGGCAATTAGAGCTGAGATATAGACCGCCCGAAGAAGATGTCCTGACAATCAAACGAAACGATTTAGAATTATCTAAAGACATACATATTGGTGAGTACTGGGCGGACATACCGTCTAAGTTAGTTCCCGAGGTCTGACAATTGGATAGATTAGTTAGATCTCTACAAAGTGTGGTCAGATTGATATGTTTGGCCGGATATTCGGTTAGGAGTTCTGAATCGCTATTCACTGAGTTATCATTTGTCGATACATCTGAAGGAACAGTGGTTTGCGTCGACTGGTGTGACACTACTTCCCCCGGAACTGTGTTTTCATAATTTAATAATTAGAAGAAATACGATAAAAAGGATAATTTTAAATACCCGTAGAACAGGGGCGGGTGTCCCCATACGAAGGACAGGCACATATATAACCTAGATTGAATTTAATAATCAGAAATTTTTACAAATTAATGTCACATTTAAACCTTGAGGTCTGAAAAGACAGAGATGACTACAGGCGCCGTTAAGCACAGCGCATGGATTGGCACCAGTTTGCCGACTGAGAGACACGGCTTTGATTTCCATTAAATTTTCAATATTATCACAAATGGTCTCGTGATCAGCACCGGTAACTTTGTTGGCCCTTTCGATGGCTTTGGTGTGTGAGTCAGACCAGTAGACGTACTGATCCATAAGCGTCAGTCCGTATGGATGTGCGATATCTTTGATTAAAATATTTCGATACTTTCCGTCCAAATCTGCACTTTCTATGCGATCCAACTGAGAGTCGGCCCAAAAAATGCGCTGATTTTCCAGATCTATAGTCAGACCGATAGCCCGACCCAAGTCTGAGGCTATTATTACTCTACGACTACTTCCGTCTAAATAAGCTTTGGTTAGAGAAATAAAATATGAATTTAAAAAAAAATATTCTTAAAATAAATGTATGAAAACCTCTTTCAATTTTAGCCACTGAACCCGAATCAGCCCAAAACAAAAACCCCAGGGCTGGTAGTAATGCGAGTGATTTGGGATCATTGAGATCTAAGTCAATGATGACTTTACGACACGAGCCGTCATTACGGGACACTTCGATAACATTACGACTGGTGTCACTCCAGTACAGGTTCTTCGAGATCCAGTCAAATGCCAGACTATTGGGCGCCGACCCGTCCTTCTGAACCAATATTTGAGCGTTAGATCCGTCGAAATCGAAGGATCGGATTTGATTTAAGGCGAGATCCGAGTGATAGATCTTCTTATTAGAAAAGTCATAATCTATTGCCACTGAATTTTGTATATTGAGCGCTGGTAGGTATACATCACTATAGTCTTCGGTGTCCAGTGATATCCGGCGAAGAGTTGTTTTCGTTGATATCAGTAGTTGACGGGTTAGGTCTGAATGGGAGACAAAATTGAGATTTAATACAACAATTAAAGCATACGTTGAGAATTGTGTTGTAGACTGACTCGGATTACATGTCTTCTCGTCGTTGTAGAGTACCATTCCTGTGGGACAGAGACATGAGTAGCCTTTGGCAGTGTTCCTAAGGCAGAGGTGAGAACAGCCGCCGTTATTGATTTGGCACATGTTGTGTATGATATGCGAGTCGTTGGCCAATGAGTTCACGGCGCGAATATCCACTAAATTATTCAAACCTTTGAGTATAATCTCAGGTTTTTCGTCGTTTGTTACTATATTAAGTCTATGTATGGCTCGGGTCTCCCAATCAGTCCAATACACGTAGTCGTCGATCACTGCCACTCCATAAGGCGCCGGCACTTCACTCATCAAAAGTTTTCTATTCACACCATTAATATCTGCCATTTCGATGGTATGTGTTTGAGAGTCGGCCCAAATGAAGCGCCCTTTTCTAGTAATGGTTATACCGTTAGGCCAGCCGAGTCTCTCACTGACGATGACAGCCCTTCTGCCGCCATCCATGTCTGCCCTCTCGATCCTGACCTGTGCGCCCCAATCCGCCCAAATCATGTGTCCCGTCAATTGGTTCACAGCTATAGCTCGGGGAGAGTCCAACTCATGCCATATGAGAACTCGACGGTCAGTGCCGTCCAAATTGGAAACCTCTATCCTTTTCCTCCCGGCGTCCGTCCAGTACAGCTTTTTGCCCACGTTATCCACTGCCAGTCCGTTCACGTCATACAGACCAACGCCTATCACTTCTTCAACAATTCCCGAAGTCATGTCCGCTCTGTATATCTTATCCTCTTTGATATCAGACCAGAAGACACTGTTATTCTCGACGTGAATGTCAACAATGATTGCATTATTAGGCGTTTGGTTGAGGGGGAGGACAACATCTGCATAATAGGGCACTTCCAGTGAAATTCGGCGAATAGTATTCCTGACGGCAACCACTAAATACTTTTGCATATCTGGGGCACAAGTTTTGCCATCGTTTGACAGTCTAACACCTGTGGGACACGAACACCGATATCCCGGTGCGGACGGCGATAAAAGGCACAAATGACTGCAACCGGCGTTTGAGCAGATATTCCGCACATCACTCTTGGTTTCAATCAACTGGTTGTCAAATATCTGAATATCCATTAATTGGTCTAAACCTTGGACCAATGTCTTTCTTTGATCTCCATTCAATTTATGTGCGCTTTGAATGTTCTTGAGCTCAAGATCTGTCCAATAGATATGATCTCTATATATAACCAAACCGTACGGATGTTTCACATTACGACTAATGATCACTTGTCGTTTGGATCCATCTATTCGTACATTCATTTGATATTTGGTGTTAAAATCAATAATATCTTACCGTAAGATTGAAAAGTGTGTTAAATTTCATACCAAACTCAGAATATTCTATGCGTTTCATCCCGGAGTCACTCCAATACAGCCTCTTATCGACGGAATCGATGGCCAATCCGTGCGGATGTGTTAGGTTTTGCGAGTGAAGGGTTATTCGTTGTGAGCCATCCATACCACACCTCTCTATCTTTGCGTTTGATTTCTCCCATTGACTCCAAAACATGAGAGCACTGTTAGGGTCGACCGCTATATCTCTGGGCTGATCCAGTGTCTCCCATAATAGTATGGATCGCATCGAGCCATCCATTTGTGCCACTTCTATGAGATTACGACTGGTGTCGACCCAATATATATTCCTGGCCGCCCAGTCCACTGCCAACCCAGAGGGCGATTCCACTGAATTCGATATAATTGTCTGTTGACTCATACCATTCCAAAGGCCCCGGTTTATAGTCTTATTGGTCACATCTGACCAGAATATTGTGGACGACTCGGGATCGGAATCAATGGCCACAACACTATTGATGTCTTTGAGCGGAAGGACGACATCAATGTTGTCTTCTTCTGGACATTCCATACAAATGAGCCGAATATCGATCCGACGCGAGAATAATAGGAAAGTGTCTGCTTTAGGATCACATGTCTTGCCATCGCTGGTCAAGTGATGACCTGTCGGACACATACACCGGTAGCTGACGTTATTTGGCAAACATATATGACTGCATGCATGAGATGCACATCTGTTGAGAACATCCGGTTGTCTTAATGGATGCAAAATCGTGATATCCATTGGGAAATGGAGTTTATTGTGGACTAATGTGATATTCTTTGCGTTCAGTTTACTCGCGGTTTGGATGCCTTTTGTCTGTAAAATGCAATTACAAATAATAGCTATAAAAGCAAATCACTGATTGATTATATGTTTGACTAATAGTATACCAGACCTGCCAATCAGTCCAATAGAGGTTGTCTTCAAACACACTGATGGCGAAAGGATGCGGTAAATCACCTGAAATTAATATCCAATTATGTCTTTTCGTGTCATTTGTCTTTTGTCTTCATTACCTTCGATGACACGTTTTCTATCACTTCCGTCCAAATTAGAGCTTTCGATGACGTGATGCTTAGCGTCGACCCAATAGAGGCGATGCGACGGATGGTCTATAGTTAATCCGTTGGGCCAAAAGAGTTCTCTCTGATTGGATCAATTGGACGAGATAAGCGCTTAAGTCAGTCCAGAAGTGGCCATTTCGTATGATATAACTTTTACCTCCACAATAGCCATACGTCCCGTTCCGTCCATAAACGCCTTCTCGATTCTGGGCTGTTGTCCCCAATCGGTCCATAAGATAGTCGAGTCGTCTGGATTGGCGACTATAGCTCTGGGCTTTTCAATGCCCTTCCAAAAGAGCACTTTCCTCATCATTCCGTCCAAATTCGCGAATTCTATTCTTGAAGTCCCGGAATCGGTCCAAAATATCCGATGGCAGACCCAGTCGATGGCGATACCGCCGGCGCTCACTAAACCAGAGCTCACTATCGCTGTCTTATCGGTTCCGTTCAACGAAGCCTTGAATATGACGTCTGCTGTGATGTCCGACCAGAATATGAGATCCATTTCGTAGTGATAGTCAATAGCGATTGCATTTTGAAGGTTTCCAAGAACTGAAGTGTACTCCGAGTTATCCAAAGACACTCTCCTGATGTCTATCCTATTGGCAAATATGATGATAGGCTCGGGTCCGAGGGCTTTACACCGGCGCCTGTCTGCTCTCATTTTGTATCCTTTGGCACAAAAGCACTGAAAGCCGGGAACAGAGTTCTCGCACTTTTGCGAACAGATCTGTTCAGTAAGAAAGCACTCGTCGACGTCCAGACACGAGCGCCCGTCGTATCCCATCTGATAGCCCTCTTTGCAGGCGCAGTGATGACCGTTCACTGTGGCTATGCATAAGTGCTGACACGGGAAGCCATCCTCACGACATGGAGTTCCCGAAGCGCACGTCCCGTTCAGGTCTTCATCCGACCCGTCCGGACAGTTGGGCGCACCGTTGCATACGTTGTTCTGGTTAATACACGTGCCGTCCGCACACTTGAAGTTACCGGTCGTGCACTCGCTTCTCACCGCACAGCCGTCTTCGTCCGAGTTATCGCTGCAATCGATGTCTCCATCGCATCGCCACTGAATCGAAATACAGCGACCGCTTCGACACCGAAACTCTTCAGATGTACACGACTTGGAGGCTAAACAACAGTTGGCTTACCATTAGGTTTGATGCAAATACACTACATTTTACAACACAATGACTTTTGTTTATATTATAAGTTAATTTTATTGTCTTATTCTGTAACAGAATTTCTGTTCATATTTAACGCTATTTCAAAATTATTTTAATTGATTTTAGCATGTTTCCATAAAACGATACTAATAATAATTAAATAATAGATTACTGTCTTTGGATGTATCATATCAATAAGTACTTTAAGTATTTTTTATGGAAAATCAAATTATAATCTCATTGCAAACAATTTTTTCTATCTTATTATGATATATTAGCGAATATTTCCCAGTGAATCGTTTTTAATACTGTTATAAATTCTTTATTCAATTATGAAACAAACTGATGTATTTTGTTTATGCTTTTGAAAGACTTACAGAATATTATTTTTATTATTGTCGATATACTATCCGTAAATTGAATCAAATTATTACATAAAATTCCTTTTTCTTTATATTATAGAAATTAATGAATTCTTAACAATCATTACATCTGTTTATTTCAAAAAACAACTTTTTGAAACAGTTTGAAACATTATGTTAACACTAGAGAACAATCTTGAACACTAAAAACTTCATCATAAAAATAAATTCCAACAGAAAATCAATTATTAAATCAATAAATTAGTGGAAAACAAATGTTATATTTTGTGGACTCGAGTATTAGAGATGATAGTTATAGTCATTGTTTGTCATTAAAAGGAATTGACAATAAATGGATATATTCTGTGGTATTCTTACTTTTTTATGGAAAATCAAATTATAATCTCATTGCAAACAATTTTTTCTATCTTATTATGATATATTAGCGAATATTTCCCAGTGAATCGTTTTTAATACTGTTATAAATTCTTTATTCAATTATGAAATAAACTGATGTATTTTGTTTATGCTTTTGAAAGACTTGCAGAATATTATTTTTATTATTGTCGATATACTATCCGTAAATTGAATCAAATTATTACATAAAATTCCTTTTTCTTTATACAGTATTATAGAAATTAATGAATTCTTAACAATCATTACATCTGTTTATTTCAAAAAACAACTTTTTGAAACACTTTGAAACATTATGTTAACACTAGAGAACAATCTTGAACACTAAAAACTTCATCATAAAAATAAATTCCAACAGAAAATCAATTATTGAATCAATAAATTAGTGGAAAACAAATGTTATATTTTGTGGACTCGAGTATTAGAGATGATAGTTATAGTCATTGTTTGTCATTAAAAGGAATTGACAATAAATGGATATATTCTGTGGTATTCTTACGGCAATTATGTTCATCAGACTTGTCCTCACAGTCTGGGTCTCCGTCACACTTCCAGTCAATGTTAATGCATTGGCCATCAGAACAGAGATATTCAGTGGAACGGCACTCAACTCTTCCCTCTTGAGAACAATTGCAATAATAATGATAAACAGTTGGGTTAACATAGAGTCCCATTGGGCTGACAGCTATAAGAGTCAACTAATTGGGCATTTTAATGCTCTCTCGTATATATCCATAACTATTTGTCTTAATAGGTCTCGCGTGACAACACACTCACCACACTTGGCCTCATCAGACCAGTCGCCGCAGTCGTTGTCTCCGTCGCAATGGTAGGCTTCGCTAATGCATCGGCCGTTGCGGCACCGGTACTGAGCTGATGGACACGAGATGTGGTCGATGGGCACCAGTTCGCAGTCCAACTCATCCGATCCGTCCACGCAATCGGTCTCTCCGTCGCAGTGGAAGGACATCGACACACATCCGCCCGAATGGCACCTGAACTCTATGGACACGAGATGTGGTCGATGGGCACCAGTTCGCAGTCCAACTCATCCGATCCGTCCACGCAATCGGTCTCTCCGTCGCAGTGGAAGGACATCGACACACATCCGCCCGAATGGCACCTGAACTCAGATGTAGCGCACGGACGACCCATACATTCCTCGTCAGACCCGTCGCCACAATCATCGGTTCCATCGCATTGCCATTCGTTGCGAACACACCGGCCGTTCCCGCACTTCAATTCTCGGTCATTACTACAGTCTCGGGGTTTGCAGTCGTTTTCATCTGAATTATCGCCGCAATCGTTGTCTCCGTCGCAGAACCACGTCTTCAGTACACATCGACCCGAAGAACACGTGAAGTGCTCTCCAGAACACACCGGAAGTGCTGTCAATTCATTCAAATAATGCTATTCATTAATTCAATACAATATTAATAACGTATAAAAATATAATATGAAAATACTTATTTTAATCTATCAAAATATATTATGCAATTTATACAAATAAATTTATTTGCTATTATATTTCAATTTTAATTAATATTATATAAATTTATTATAGAAATGATGTTATACTCGATATAATAACAAAAGCATTAAGTAATATAATATGAAAAGTTAACTTTAATGTCACTTAATCTCCTCAATAGTATAAGTCCAGAGAAATTCTGTGACAGAATACAAACATAACTTGAAGAACATCTAGAAGTGAAACCCTGTTTGACTCAACTCTCAAACATTTTTTGTATGTATAATACTGTAGTTGATAAGTAATTTGCGTTCAATATGAATGTTTTAACCATAACTTAAAATTTTACAAAATATGATATTTATTCATAAAAACATAAACATTTAATTCTTTATAAATTAATTCTCTATGTCTTATAATTTACTGAGTTTTGCAAAATCCTTGTACATTTAAAATAAAGTTTATACCAATTCTTAAGGTATTACTGTATTTCTTATATGGACACGAGATGTGGTCGATGGGCACCAGTTCGCAGTCCAACTCATCCGATCCGTCCACGCAATCGGTCTCTCCGTCGCAGTGGAAGGACATCGACACACATCCGCCCGAATGGCACCTGAACTCTGATGTAGCGCACGGGCGACCCATACATTCCTCGTCAGACCCGTCGCCACAATCATCGGTTCCATCGCATTGCCATTCGTTGCGAACACACCGGCCGTTCCCGCACTTCAATTCCCGGTCATTACTACAGTCTCGGGGTTTGCAGTCGTTTTCGTCTGAATTATCGCCGCAATCGTTGTCTCCGTCACAGAACCACGTCTTCAGTACACATCGACCCGAAGAACACGTGAAGTGCTCTCCAGAACACACCGGAAGTGCTGTCAATTCATTCAGATAATGCTATTCATTAATTCAATACAATATTAATAACGTATAAAAATATAATATGAAAATACTTATTTTAATCTATCAAAATATATTATGCAATTTATACAAATAAATTCATTTGCTATTATATTTCAATTTTAATTAATATTATATAAATTTCTTATAGAAATGATGTTATACTCGATATAATAACAAAAGCATTAAGTAATATAATATGAAAAGTTAACTTTAATGTCACTTAATCTCCTCAATAGTATAAGTCCACAGAAATTCTGTGACAGAATGCAAACATAACTTGAAGAACATCTATAAGTGAAACCCTGTTTGACTTAATTCTCAAACATTTTTTGTATGTATTGATATAATACTGTAGTTGATAAGTAACTTTCGTTCAACATGGATGTTTTAACCATAACTTAAAATTTTACAAAATATGATATTTATTCATAAAAAACATAAACATTTAATTCTTTATAAATTAATTCTCTATGTCTTATAATTTACTGAGTTTTGCAAAATCCTTGTACATTTAAAATAAAGTTTATACCAATTCTTAAGGTATTACTGTATTTCTTAATAAGAACTTCTTAGTCTTAATTTATTAATGATTAGATTTCTATGTTTGACTTATTATTCCTTTATTTCTCTCATTAATTAATTTTAAGAAATAATGAAAAATTCAAAACCAAAATCTATTTGTATGTCATAAAACAATGTATTCGATGCGATTAAATATAAGCCGATTATTGTTAAGCCAAAGAATTAAATAAATTATTATAAATACAATAATTACTTTATATTGAATGATCTAATGACTTTAAGTTAATTTCTTATTATCGAAAACTTTGTAATTAAATATTTGAATAACAACTTTTTGGTTTAAGAATATTTCTGTATTTTTTTGTAAAGTTCTTATTAAATTACTAATAAAATAATGAGTTTATAATTTAATATAAAATATGATAGTATTTAGAGTGTATAAAGAAGTTCATATAGGAGTACATTGATAACTATTAGCCGCCACTCGTTGGAAATGATTAATGAATATTGTGTTATAATTATTCTGTAAATCATTTTTCTTGAATTGTCTTTAAGTTAACATTTGAGATGATTTGAGAAGAAAGGAAAGTTGACGTCTGAGTGCCTGGACTTTGGATATGAAGTCCATTTAGCAAAAACAACTGCCACTATATATCTATACATCCCATGAGAATGAGTGCACATCACATCTCCAGACTTATATAAGCAAACATTTTTTATTTTGATTTATTTGTTGGGAATTTTTATTTGAGAAATGATTTATACGAAGAGTTATCGCAATTCGTTGGCAAATATTCTCTGCTTTTGATTCCCTTTGTTTTGAATCATTAATTTGATTATAAAGTATAAAATGAAAACTTATTAGAAATCAGTCTTTTTGGCAGTGATTTTCATTTCCCCGAGAATTTCTTTAATCTATTATTGATTTAATATAAATTTAACTGAATTTTTTGTAAAATTTTTCAAAAAATTTTAACAAATCAAATGACAGTAGAATTGTAACCAATTCTGTGTTAACGATTGAATTCTCGGTTCACATTAATTAAAATTAATTCAATCGCTCTTTAAGTTAAATAAAAGAGTTTTTAAATAAAGAAACTTTTTTCGGATAAAATATCACAAAACAGTGATTTTCCAAAAGACAAGATCACGAACAAAGGAGTTCTCAATATATCGGCAAAAAGTAATTATAATTTATTATCCTTTGCTCTGTTCTCTCCTTTTTCTTGTTATTCATTCGACATCCGATAAAACCATTTTTAGTGAGAAATAGTGAGAAATACCAGAAACAGTTGCCGAGAGAGAGAGAGAGAGAGAGAGAGAGAGAGAGAGAGTTATATGGTATAGAAATAAAAGAATTTTAATGTACTTTAATAGCACTTCCATTATATACAGTGGACTACCATATAATGATTGGCATTGTTTGCCTGTGAACGGTGGGCACCGATCTGAGAGGGCTTACTGTCTGCTTTTAAAATATTTATTATAAGCCCAAAGAATAACTGATTCCCATTCGAGTCGAGTGTAAAAATGAAAAAATATTTTTTGGCGTTAAAACCAATCTTTTCCATCAAATCCCGGGTTTATTAATATACCATATCTTTATTTTCTTAAAATTACATGAAATTATCGTGAAGGTAATATATGTCACCTGATGGTATATTACTAACCGTAACAAACGGACACTTGCCACCCGTGGCTAGACTCTCCCGAATGAAAAAAGGCATTCCATCACCAGTTTCAGTCCTCATTAAAACTTATACTTATAAATATTAATGAAATTAAAATTAACTGCAAATGCGATCAAAACAATGGCATCGCGACTCTTCTCAGTCATATCTAAAGGCATTTTTGGACACTTCAAAGGGAAATGAGATTAACTGTTGTGTCAATAGTTTGTATTCCTGACTCTGGAAACAAAAAATGCTTTTTTGAATTTAAGTCAAAAGATAGAGAATAAAAGAGTGGGAAATGATTGGCTTTTATATCAGCTCTAGAATAATGTACTGAATTTGCTTTTAATCCCTAAATCCTAAGATTTTTTTCGTTTATTTAATATTATTTCTTTACGAAAGCAAAAATTGTTTATTTCGCTTATTTGAAAGACAAAAAAATATAGTAAAAGTGATGTTATTTTGGGACAATTTTTTTGCCTGAAACTGAATTATTTTAAAATTCACAGAAAATATTGTAACTAAGAAAATAGGAAATTCAATCAAAATTTATACATACAATAGATATTCAATGAATTGTCTATAGACTGAAGAATTTGTAAACATTTGAAACAAAACATGAAATGAATTTTTAATGCAAACATGATTTGAATTTAAGTGTAGTTTGAGTTCACAAGCAAAGCAACATTTTTAGCCTAAAATTGACAAATAAGTCAAAAATTACATTTAAAATATTCTTATATCTCATATGTAATAATATTTACACAATTTCTTTACACTTTTAATATTTTCGATTTTCGACTAAAGCTATGAAACAAAAATCATTTCTAATAATATTTTCTATCAGTTGTTTGAATCGTAAAATTGAGAAAAAACTCATATTTGAAGCAAAAAGAGGATAAAAGTATTGATAGATTGAGTGATGAAATACATTATAACTAAAACTAAACTAAAGTCGATATAAAACTATATTTTTATTTCCTCTAAATTTTATTCGTTTACAAATCGTAAGAATGGATTCAAAACTGAGTTTCAAAGTAAAGAAATCCAAAGAAAATCTCTAATTTTCATCAAATATCCAATTCATTGAGTTATCTCTTTTGAAATAGAGGTCAATAAAATCGCTTACATTTATTGAAAGTCAATAACACATTCATTGAACTCTTATTTAAATTCATATTTTTCATTACAAATGAATGACATAATCATAAACTGTCATTTAAATTGCAGAATATTCTGTATGTGTATGGAAATAAGAAATATTACAAAAATGTAACAAAAAATATTTGGCATAAATATGAGCCGAGGATATGAATGGATTGAATGAAATGATTGTATCACTGAATAAATCAATCAAAATATGCGTCAAATCGAGTGAATAGTGTTGGAGTAGTTGAAGACCAGCATAAATGTGTCAAATTGTTATCAATTGCCTAAACATACACTTCTCTCACACTCTATACAACTTATAATCAATTCATTCATCATTTTTTGACTATTTTTCTTCGCTTACTTGACTCCCAATTTAATTAATTGTAAAAATTTATTATTTTTAAATTTAGTTAATATTTTCTAACTTTTTATGTGAACTCGTTATATGTTTTTTGAGAGACTGTAAAAAATTTTAATGAACAAAACTCACTGACACTTCCCTTTTGAGATATGAATAAATGTTTTTTCAGTGCATTTTTCATTCATTTATTATATAAAAAATCATTTCGTTTTTATAGTTTTTATATATATTTCACAAAAAATCAATTCAATTCTTATGAGATTTTTGAGCAAAAGTTCAATTTATCTGAGAGTGAAGTTTTTTGTGGGTTTAGTTTTTGATGGCAAAAATTATATCTAAAACTTTAGGTTCAACAAGAATTTCATATCTAATGGGTTTTCTTTGCTCTAAGAATTCACCAAAAAATTTGTCGTAATTATTATTATATAGATTTAATCACGATTTTCCCATTTCATAAATTGTGTAAAATTTTTACCATCAGATAAAAATATTTAATAATTTAAAATATAATTATTATTAATAATTAAAATTAATATTTATGTCATGATTAAACCTTGTTTTATAGTTTGATTTATTTGATTTATAAACACACAAAGAATAAATTTACAAAGTTTATAACTTTTAAATGTTGTAGTATATTTTTGTATTATATCCCAAATTAATTGTAATTAATTTGTTTTGAAACATTTTCCCTAAAAATTTGGTTATAAATAAATTAAAATAAATGTGAAAATAGAGTGCAATTTATATGGAAACGACTTATCGGTTGGTCGGACGGTATAATCGGTTGGAAAAGTAAAACATTTATAAGAATTAGGGTTTTATTGAAGAAGAAAAGTCGAAAATGAAAGGAATCGTCGATTTCTGGTATAGATTTTGCAAATGATTGCCAACTGTTATATCAATTGCATATAACATTCATTTTCATTCATTCACTCAATAGTAGTCACTCATTGATAGTCTAGTATTGGACTTAAGATTAGCGAAAATGTGCTCAAAGATGTTGACACATACTGTAATACATATAATATAATACTAAACACAAAGTTGGAGTCAAATGTGAGACTCTTATCTCATAAGAGAGACACTCTTTGTTACGGAAAAGGACTTAAAATTCCGATCAAATGGTGCAAAACGTGATGGACTTTGGGCTCTAAACTAAAGGCCATAACTTGCCAACTGATGACAGGGTATAAGTGCTGGAAATGAGGCACAAATTGAAGAGTGAATGCAATATTGAATATGGAGTCAAACATGAATACAGAGAAAGTATAACCAATTCTTTCATAACAAATGTAGCGAAAAGAGGAATTGAATTTCACTGAATAGTGTATAAAAGTGGATAAAAGATTAGGAAAAATAAGTTTCAATACTATTGGCGCACTTCACTGAAAATTGAAGCCAATTCTTAAAGTATTAATAAAAAATCTAATAATAATAGAAATAGAAATACTTTACAACCAATAGTGTTAAAGTATTTTTAAGAATTCAATATTTTTTATATATAAAAACCTTATGAATAAATCTAACATGAAAATAAATAATAGATTTTATCAAATGATGTCAAAGGGTGTCAAACAAAGCTTTAGATTAGAAAGCATTAGATTCTTGTGAAACCATTCATTTTGTTTGAAATTAAAAGTGTTTTATTTGAAACTCATATCACAATACATACCGCAACCGATTT